TGTGTTGGATCAGGTTGGCTACAGACTATACACTGATCCCGGATTAACAGATGAATCAAATATAGCCGTCCAAAATCTCAGCTATATGGGGAAAAAAAAGAGAAGCATGGGTGGCATTGATAAAAAAAATAAAATAAATAATAATAATAAAAAGCTATTTGTGTTTCGTTATGCTAATGCTCAACACACACATTTGACCAGAATAAACAACATATTTAAAGTGTCACATGTCTAAAATATGCTTGACTGCTTTGATTTCTGCATATATTGCAAAAGGCTTAAGAGCACAATAATGGTAATATTGAGCTCAGTACGTGTTCACATCCGAAAATAACACAAATTATACCACAGTGCTGTTGAATTCTCGAATTCTGATTGGTCAGAAGTTATAGTAATGAGCTAGTTGTAATATTTTATTGTTTGTATAGCAACAGCTCAGTCACAGGGACTCGTATGGTAAAAGCTTCACGTGACTTAAAGCTAATAATATTGGGGGGGGGGGGGGATCTGTGATTAAGCAAAGAAAAAGTATAATTGTTGATTATGGTAAAGCTTTCTGCAACATTTAATGAAGAAGGGTCGGGAGTGCATTGTAACACAAAATTTGACTCACTGGGAATGAGGGAATAATCAGTGGCGAAACTGCTGTGGTGTAAGTGGAATAAAACACTTTGGGACTTGTGATTTTAGGAAAATCATTCACTTCCGGGTGGTAAAGGCCCTCCACTTCATCACCCCGTCATGGATCATTTTCTTACAATAGCTCACTCCATAGCGTTTTACTCCTTACTTGCCAATACCATAGCACTTCTTTTATGACCCATATATATTACAGCAGCCGAGCTGAGATGTTCCCGACCATGCTATGGAGGCTTATTTGTCCTTAAACTCTTTCTGTTTCATTTTCCATTTACTGTTTAGGACAAATAACTACCATCGGTCCTGCTCCTCTGGATGCCCACCAAGTCCTCTGTAGGTTAATCTTCTTTAGGTGGGATGACTGCAGGAGCCAGTGTTTAAATGCCTCTTAGAACCAAGCCCTCGTGTCAGTGTTTATGGTCCAGAAGGCCTCAGAAACAACTCTCCATTACAGAACTCTGTGTTCTGTATTTTGCTGATTCGCTGCTGGAGTCATTCAGCACCAACCGCTTTCACCATCGTGAGGCACCGAGCTGCCATCTGTTCTCCATGCTGCGGGACGCACTTCTTCCTCCGGCACTGGCTCTGATGCTTTTTTTGTAGTGCAGAGAAAAAGCATAAATTGGGTACAATGGTAACTCACAGTGAGCATGAATGGATGTTGCTCAACGTACTCAAAAGGTGGCTGGCTGGACTTCAAACAGGGGAGGGCACATTTTGGGAACAGCCAGGAGGATGTTCCATTATGCTGATCTTAAATAGAGGGCAAACTCATGCGTTTTACAGCATGTCATTATCCTATTAGCAGCAGTTGAAGGTTATAGGGTACTTCATTATACTGCCTAAGTAGCTGTTTTCAGAAATCTGCACTTTGGGAATGATGTTTCTAGTCACTTTACATTTGACCCCGTTTTACTGTATTAAAGAACCTACAGCACGAGTGCACTGTTACAGTTGCTAATAGTGACTAAGGGGTGAAACTGCAGTGATGTCCAGGCTTACAGGGCACAATTTTACCCTCACTGGGCATTACCTATTAATATACCTATAAATATCTAAGCTTTTTTTTTTAAGCCCAGAACCTATTACCTGGGCACTGAAAATTTAATTCTATTAATACTATGACCAAAATAGAACAACATAGTATTTTCCTAACAGGCTATTAATACAAAACACTTGTTTCTGAACACGAGAAAGACCATAAAAAAACAAAGCTCAATTAGCACTTTGGTAATTCTGAAGCTGAAATGAAATAGGAGTGAAAATTGTTGTGAAATGACCTTTCATGGCAGGGGATCATTACACATTTATTAGCTTATACACCACAGTTAGCGATTCCATTACAAATTTAATGAAAGTTTAGTTCAGCGCAGAGATGTATGAAAATATACGGTATAGCTCATAGAATATCCTCGTTATTTTAGGACCAGTCTTTGTGTTTCATATTAAAACATCACACGCCTTAGAGACTGGCACAAAGAATTTCAGTGCACATTTCTTTCAAGAAATCTCAATTAGCACATGTTGAATGCACTGCCACATTTTATGACAGGTTTATGAAAGTTAAATCCGTAAAGCCATCTGACACAGGCCCTTGAGTACACTTAGTAACCGATCAAGGGTGTGACTTCACACTCACACTTTTAAATGTTGAAACCTCTGGCTAGATGTATTGAGAGGGAGCTAACGATAAACAACTACTTTCTTCCTAGGTTTTTTTTTTTTTTTTTTCCCTGATTTCATTTTCTTCACCCACATATACAATAAAATTAGACAATCCAACCAGTAGGGACAGTATTTATAACAATAACTTTGTACTGGGTACAAGAAGAATGACATTTGTGCTTTGAGTTAATTCTCAGTCACGATATCCGACCTACACAAAAGGCAAGGTACACAAATGACAAATTAGACATAGACTTGTAGACCATGACGCGGTAATTAAACAGAAATGAAGAAACTGAGGACACGAGCCTTCTTGACAAGACTCATGGACCCTGGGCTCAAGGGAAATGTGGCTGATACGCTGCACACTTGCCCTTATGAACTGTGCCATCAGCATCAAGTCAGTGAATCCAGCTGGGCTTGAATCATCTCTAGCTGCAAAAGAAAAAAAAAGAAAAAGAAAAAGAATAATAATATATGTTTCACAGTTTCAAAAGAGGTACCAGGCCTGATCTTTTTGGCTAGGCAGTCAAGTGGAAAACTTAATGAATTTAGTCTGACCTTGTTGTAGAACTCCAACAGTTCCTGGTGGCTGAATTCCATATGAACCTTCTGTAGATGCTGGAAGCAGTTGCAGTTGAGGAGGAGAGCAGGAAAAAAAAAAAAAAAACAACAGTGAGAAACACAGCCTCAATCAGCTGTCTACATAAAAGCCTCTCATGAATTATTAGCGCACATCTGTCCAGATATTGCCAGTCAGTTCGCTGACCTAGTTTTGCCTGTAAAATTGGTATATTAATAAAAACAAGCAAACGTCTTCTGTCAGATACAAATACTAATGACAAAATGTTTTTGTTTTTTTTTAAATATTGTTTTATTTACAGAATAATATCTGCAAAATGTATCATAGAACATAAAAATCTTCATGGGTTTATTAGTGATGGAAACAAGTTATCAACACACTCCAGATACCCAAACAACACGTCAAGGTACAAGTACGTTAATATTCTAAAATAATCTTCCTCTCGCTTGTGTAATGTGGGAAGTTGCTGTCGCTGAACCAAGAGAGCAGTTCTGTACGCGTGATGCTCTTTGAATACCACGAATGAAAGCAAATGTGCTTCAGAGAGGAAGGGTTAAACCCACTCTGGAGCTGCAGCACAAAAGAGCCAGGCTTCATCTGACAGATCTGGGTTAACAATAACGCACACCCAAGTCACAGAGGTGGTCCTCAGAACTCAGATGATAAGCATTAAAACTGAGAAGAAGGAAAAAAAAAAAAAAAAAAGCAGTGCCCTCTTATCCTTAGCCCATTTTGACAACACTGCTGAAATGTACAAAACGCTGATAGCTTTGAAAAACCATCACAGAGGTTTCTTTCTAATTTCTGAATGAAACTTTAATGACTAATGTTGATTCATGAGCTGTTGGAGTATGACATTTCTCATGGCTGAGCAAGTGAGGAATGGCTGACACAAAAAGGCACTTCTCATGAATCATTTGGTTGTGTGAAATGCTTTTTTGCTTCCTGTCAGTGAAATTCAGCATTTTCAAAAAAAAAAAAAAAAAAAAAAAAAGGCATTTTGAAGTGAAACCTTCTTATTAAAAAGTTTTCTACTTTCCACAACCCTCAGTGCACAAATCGTCAGAGGTGTAGACAGCTTACTAGAAGCGGTGGGTTTTTTCTAATTCGTTCTGAACTATTTTATTGACTACAAAAACTTTTACAAAGGCTTCTTGGGTATACAGAGGAAAAATAAAACTGACCTGTAAAGAAATAAACTAATTAGAAAGAAATATAGAGTATAATATTAGTCATACATGTGGCAAGATGCTAGCAGAAGTGCTGTCGCTTTCAGGTAGTTAGAAGTTACAGTAGCGTTCTCACGTTGCTTGAGGACATTCAGGAATAAAAGGAAAGAAGGGGAGAGGTTTCTTATTACTAAATCTGCACATGTTACCGTTTTATTTAGCTCCTAGAAAAATAAGATTTAAATTAGGGGTGTCAAACTCAATTTCTCTCCGGGCCAGAGCCACATTCTTGTGAGCTCAGGGAAAGCCCGAAATGATGGTTATTATGGGTTTTTTTTTAATGCAAATGTGCGTCTATTTTCTAATCTGATTATGGCAGGCAGTCTCATAATGATGACAAAATTGTATAAGACAGCTTGTGCAGCAGTAAAGAAAAAATAAAGGCTTATATTTTCTTATAAGAACATAAATATCCTCAGTCTCCCACCACTTTTTTTCTTCACTCTGCATTAAACTGGAGTCAAAGAGCACGGGGTGTATAGATACACAAAATTGAAATTCAAAACAATGAATATGATGGTGTCCCGATATGCTACATTTCCCATACAGCACAAATACGCATCTCCTGAATACGTGCCTTAGGTGTCCAGTTTAAATTGATTAAAACATTTAACGTTATCTGAAGTACAATAATTGAAATTAAAAGAGAGTGTTTGTGTGACTCTTAGCGGCATATAAACAAAGGTTGTGCATTAGTTATCGTTGTTCTTCTTTCGGCTGCTCCCGTTAGGGGTCGCAACGGCGGATCGTTGGGTCGCGTATTTGATTTGGCACGGTTTTTTACACCAGATGCCCTTCCTGACGCAACCCTCCCCGATTTTATCCAGGCTTGGGACCGGCACTGGGAGTGCACTGTCGTGTGCAACTCCTGTGGCTGGGGTCGGTTCCCTGGCCGGGAATCGATCCCGGGCCACGGCGGTGAGAGCGCCGAGGCCTAACCCTTAGTCCTCCAGAGACCCCTGTGCATTAGAATGTAACAAATTAAAAATGGCTAAGCTTACACTGGTGTCTCTCTGTGTGGCGTGTCTGAAGCACGGGGCTTTTCTTATTCTGCTGTTAGTTGTGCTGTCAGTGTCGCGTAGCTTTCTGTAGCCATAGCTGTGTTTTTGAAAGCCGCTCTCTTCACTGCTGAATACGAATGCTGCCGTGATGATTTCTTTCGCTCTTTCGCTCTTTCAATCAGCAAGGGTGCAGTGTTTCTGGTATTAACACTGGTGTATTGTACACATATTGGGTGGAGTCGGTCCGCTTTAATGTTTCGGTCCACCGTTGCCTGGCCATCAGCGTTCTAACTCACGAGGAAGCTGAAGTGCTTTCATATACCAGACCTTAAAGACTTGGGGGAATATTCCAGCTCCTGATGGCTGCTAAACACTTACACTAATACAACAGTATGCTAGTATGCATATTAGTTAGTATGCATATGCATATTAACACATGGTATGAGCTAATTGTAGCCTTGTCTGATTTGAGATAGAAGAGGAAGTTGTGGAGGGAGTGTGGGCTTGATTAAGTTTAAATGTTTATTACACCTCACATAATAATAAGTGGTATTTTATGACAAATAGCCAACTTTATTACGCGGTCTGTTGAATGTATTGTTTCAATGCAATGACATCGAATCAAGAGCCGAATATAGAACAAAATACCACTTTTTATTTTACTGAAGTATTTTTAGATGCGCACACGTAGCACATTTGCTTCCATTTAACCAGCTTTTCAATCCACAAAATATGCAGTATATTTACTGTGTCACTGTCCCAGGTCATGGTTTTAAGTGAACTGTACAGCTGAACCATCGCTAACTGTGCCCATGCCTTTACAGATACTGTTGTATTTCTGTCTGTTAGTTTTCATTATAATGTTTATAATGTGTCAGTACTGCTTCAGTCTGAAAATGATATATTAGGATATTAGGGTTCTACAGGCAGGTTCAAAATTCTTTGTTTTGGCAAGCTCCAGTGGACCATTAGTGCCCTAAGGGTCTTGAGTTTGCCACTTGTGTATTATATAGCGCACACTAACATTTTTATAATTGTATTCATGAAATCCAAATACAAGAAAACTCAGGGGAAAAAAGTTAGGATCAAACTCTGTTCAAATTTAAAAAAAAAAAAAAAAAAAAAAAAAGAGAGAAACATTAAATTACATTTTGTGATGGTTTCCCAGAAAAAAATGGTCATTTGTTCTGCTACTGCAGCTGTTTCTGGGAAACCTGTTTCATGTAATTTAATGTTTCTCTCTTTTAAAAAAAAAAAAAAAACTTTGAACAGAGCGTTTAGCTTGATAAAACCTCTGGAGAAAAAGCTGTGAGTGAATTTGAAAAATGACCCAGACGCTCAGTTGTAGTGAGAGAGAACAAATTTGTCCTAAACAACTGTTTTAGATACTGATTATTAAACTCCTGTCGGCACAGTGCTATAGCAGGCAGTGTCGCTGCCACACAGCTCCAGGGTCCCCGGTTTGATCCTGAGCTCAGGTTACTGTCTGTGTCGAGTTTCTGTACATGTTCTTCTTGTGTCTGTGTGAATTTCCTCTGGGTTCTGTGGTTTCCTCCCACCTCGCAAAAACATGCTGGTAGGTGGAATGGATACTCTAAATTGCCCCTAGGTAGGAATGTGTGTGTGTGTGTGTGTGTGTGTGTGTGTGTGTGTGTGTGTGTGTGTGTGTGTGTGTGTGCCCTGTGAAGAACTCCTGTCCCATCTAGGGTACATTCCCACCTCGCATGCATAAAGCAGTTACTGAATGAATTTATAAATTGACATTAAATAACCAATAATTATGCAAACGATGACTAGATGTATGAAATGAAATGAATGAATGGAGCGAATGAGTCGTTAGCAATATGCATTAGAATGCCTTTATCAAGGCGTGATTTTCACACACAAATGGCTTATTAGATGCTCTTGGCAAAAGAACTGCAATGATGACAAATTATTTGACATTGCTGATTACCTTTTAACTCTGGGAGGACACACGGTTCTTGGCACCCTAAAATGATTCATGTTTTATAATAATTAGCAGTTTTTTTGGAACATAAATGTGCCAGTAAACGATTCATTCAAATAAGAAGTAAACAAATATACATACTGTTTCTTACAAAATTGATCAAAGAATCATGAGTGATGATCGTTATCTCAATTCAAAGCCAAAAAGGTATTTTCTTCCTTACAAATTGTGCAGCTTGAGGGTAAACATTTTACCAAGAAATATTATAGGCCTAGTATATCTATTCTAGTATGAAACCATATATGTTCGTTTTTCTTAAACTGGGGGTCGAGATTTACGAATGAGGTTACGAAAATCCCGACGTGAATATGTTAATATTAGAAATATCAAAGACACACATGAATATCAAAGACAGAGTTTGCGTGCTAATATTTAGAAAATATTACTGGGAGTCACTAGTAGTTCAGCAATAACAATAATAAACATGGACAAATTTCCCTATCTAGGATTGTGTCTCAAATCGCATACTTATGTACTTCTACTTATGTTATTCTAGACTGTTACTGTGTACTACCACTAATTGGTTTTCCTACTATAGTAATTTTAAAAACTTCTCATGTACATCTGAGTTTTCTAGATTAGTAAACACTTCTGAATGTAAGGTCAGAGTTTTCGATTTGAGATGCAGCCCATGACAATAATCACGAAGATGGAGGAAAGTTATAAAGTGAGACGGAGCTTGTCAGTGTGTTTAACATCACTGTGCATAAAATCGTTAAACGTTTTACAGTTCGACTTGGAAACCTAATGGACAGGGATGTTTTGGCTCTGATGTGCCACCTAGTGAATGTCAATTCAAAATTTTACGGATGTACATAAGATACTCAGCAAGGGAGTGAACAATGTGGCTCGCGCTGCCGCTGCTTCTGCATGCACACACAAAATCATGCAGCAAGTATAAACCAGACTCCTCGGCTTTGCGTTGGGCCCCAGCACACCACCCCGTCATGGATTATTTCCTTCGGACTAGACGGGGAAGTCAGAGAAACGAATATTCCTTTGGTTTTACAAACATTACACATGCATATGCTACTGACATAATAAAATGTTGGCATGTTACTGTCATAGTCCTATATTATAAATCTGAAATTTGAAACAAAAAAAAAAAAAACTATGTTCCTGACTGTATGAATAACACCTAAGGCATAAGTAGCTAATTTTATATCCAAATATTGAAAGCTCTTTATCAACAAGTTATACAACATATGGCAGGTTGGGTTGCCTGATGCAGCGACAGGTTCAGACTGAAATATATCCATAATTAGAGTTTGGCTTCACTGTGTTATCACGGCATGCTAGAATTGCTAGAAAACTGACTAATCAATATTAGGAGGAGAAATAGCAGACAGTAAAGTCTCATGCATGGTGTGAGCTATTTTTAAATACTCTACAAAATGATTAATTTACAGTTTAAAATAGGCAACGGAAAAATCTAATTAGGCTTTTTATTTAATCATAAACCAGTATTAAGGCCAATATAGGCAGAAACAGACTGATGTGGACCCTCACCTAAATTGGGAGAAAAAAATAAATCAATAGAAAGGAGCCTTGTTCTTTGTTATATTTTAAATGGACATATATTGACCATGTGAATCTTCAACTCAAGTGTTGACCAGAGCAGAGCTCTCCCCCAAAACATCCCTAATTATGGATAGGCCCCCTCCCCAATTCCTAGGTTAACTGGTTGCCATGGCCACCGAGCTCTTGGAAAGGCTTTTCCGCTGTACCGTGCTGTCTGTCTCCACACAAAATGTCAGTCTTCCTTTGTGCACTCATAGCACTGCTCTGACGACTACATTGTAAAGTTTTGTGTCTGTGTCAGTCATTTCAAGATGGTGGGAGTTTCTCAGGGATAATGGCGAACACTGGGACACCATACTGGCCAAAGCAACATGTAAACAACTCCACTTAAATGCAATTTTCCATAAGAACAGATATTTCACATGCGTCCTATCTGTTCGAAAATGGAGGGATAAGGAAAAAAAATACGAGAAAAATGTGTGTGAATAACTTAATCGAAGAGAACTGCTATGAAATGCTAATGAAACATGCTGAACAAATTTATCAGACATACTGCACTGGTTTAGAGATGCGCTGCTATCTACATGTGTTCTACATCTAAATGTGTTCTGCATCCTGTCTAGAAGGAGCTTGTTTCAAATATTTGGCCATGCAGCCCGATGTTAACAAGGAACAAACAGTATTCAAATGCGAGTTCAAACAATAACTTCAATCCAAAAGATATAAACAAAAAGTTCAACAAACTTTACAGGCGTTCATTGTGTGTTGTAAGCCGACGCCAGTGGTGGAGTCATGTCTAACCCAGACAGTGGTCAAAGGAAACAATATTAAATCTTCTCTTTGTCTCGTCTCAAACTGTAAACATACTGAAGAACCTGAGCCAAAAGATGGTGGCTGAAGGATGCTAAAAGCCTAAAGAATTGGGATCAGATGCATAGCAGCCAGCAGGTTGCACTGAGTGACGTTATAGCAACCCTGCATGCAAACAGTGTGAAAGAACTAGGAGCATAAACAGGAATGGGGTGGGTGGTGTATCTTTCTTTCCTGTTGATTTTATACAGACCACCCCCCCCCCCCATCCTATTCTGCGGACTGAAAAATCATTTCTTTTAAAAAGAAAGTGCATGCTGCTGAAAATCAAGCTCAGTTGTTGCTCACGCAGCAGGAGCACTTTAAAGTAAACAGAGCCCAGATGTGATATAAAAAATATCCAATAGACGATGCGGCAGCAGTGACTGCGATCCCCTCTGTTTTTCACACTTTGTCCTCTGCTACTGAAGCACCCTAGAGGCAGCAAGTGTGGTTTCATGTGTTTTCAGCACTCAAACAAAGAGAACGCCTAAGTGCAGACAAGCTATCAGAGAGGCATCCATCCACGGTGGCACACATTGGCATTTATGGAAAGCAAGATTGAGTCAGGCCCCAG